ATCTTTATTGGACGGTGATTGCCTGTGTCTATTCTGTGCTCCACAAGGTCTGTGCAGCCGAGGTCATTATCTCCTTTTGAAAAGACTTTTGCATATTTTGCCAAGAGTTCTCTAACCTGAAGAGCCTGTGATTATGACAAATAGACTATGCTCTTCTTGTAGAGGTCAGGTACATGTTCTGGAAGAGGATGTCCTTTCTTTATGGTTGTATTTCTTGCCTTAGCATTGACTAGGTCTACCTCCCGGCACACACCCAACAATGCCCCTTCCTTAAGTGTTTGTTCACATCTAGAGAAATTAGCCACTGTTATGGGTACTACTTAGTTGACTTAAGTGCTGTGACATGCAAATCAACAGATGCAGCAACACTTACCAGAATTTGGCCTTTGTTGTTCCCCAACGTCATTTTATCGAAGTTAACTACACACTTTCTCGGTAGTAAGTAGTCCAACCCTAATATGCACTGGTCTTCAATATCAGTCAAATATACTTTGTGTCTGTCCTTCATGCCCATGAGCTCAATAGTTACCCATTCTGGTCTCCACAACCTTACATAATGTCCTGTCACACCACAGAGCTTCTGTATGTCTTCTGGTACTCCTTTGTGATCTAGCACCTTCATTCTCACAAGGGTTTGCTGAGATGAAGAATCTATGATATAGTTGCACTTTTGGCCATCCAGCTTTCCTGTCACGAAGGCACTATGTGTACGTTGCATTTTATGCTTAGTTGTTGGGACTTTCACAATGGTGGTTGGTGGGCATCCTTTAACACCAACCACTACTGGTTTCCCAGAGGCTGATTTATTAGTAATATTTTCCTTACACTGGCTCTTCATATGTCCCTGCTCTCTACAGTTCCAACAACCTTTCTGGGTATCAGCCTTTCCTGGGTATCTTCCCTGTATTGAAGTTGCTGGCATTGAGCTCTCTTGTGCCCAGGTTTATTACAGTGCCAGCAAAGTCCCTCAAACTGCTCTGAAAGCTGACCTTTTCTGGTCTTGAATCCTGATGACTCTACCAACCTTGGTACCTCTGTGCTGGACTTAACATAGGATTATAATTCAAGAGCTCTGGCCATTGCATCCTGCATAGTAGAGAGGTGTGTTTACTTCACTTTTATCTTCAGTTGTGGACTGTACAAGGCATCTACAAACTGATCCCTCAACAACAACTTGAGGAGATCAGGTGGTGCAGTTGGGTAGGCCTTGTGTGCCATACTTTCCAAGTCCTGTGCCAGCTCTTTCAGGCTCTCCCCTTTAGCACGGACTCTCGTCCTAAACCTAGCCCTGTAGAAGTCAGACTGATTTTGAGTTCCATACCTGAGTTCTAGAGCAGCTACCAATGCTCTGTAGTTGTGCCTGTCATCTGCTGACAACTGTCCTAGTATTTCCAGTGGTTGTCTCTTCAGGCTTGTTGCCAGGTACACTGCTTTCTGCTCCTCTGTCCATTCATTTATTTCTGCCACGAGCTCAAATTGTGTTCTATATGCTTCCCGTGATGCATTCCCATCGAATTCCAGTGGCTTCCTTCGTACTAGATCACCCCTATTGCTGACACCCATGTCTGGAATGTGACTTCTGGCAGGACCGACAATGTCTGCATTAGGGTTTAGCTGTGGGGTCTGGAAGGGGCTTTCTGTTGTCTGGGGCTGATTAGGTCTATGGTTAATATATCCTCTCTATGTAAAGGACAGTAAATCGTCCTTTAATTTATTTAATTCACTTTGAAATTTACTAACCTTTTCCATTTGTGTATGCTGGCTTTCTCTCAACTGTTGGAGACCACTGATGTAGTCTCTCTTCTTGTTTCTTTTCTTTCTCCTCCAACCACTGCTGTAGTCCCTCTTCTTGTTTATTTTCTTTCTTCTCCAACCACTGATGTAGTCTCTCTTCTTGTTTATTTTCTTTCTCCTCCAACCATTGCTCTAGTCTCTCTTCTTGTTTCTTTTCTTTTTCTTCTTGTTTCTTTTGCTGTTCTTGTATTGCTGCCATCAAATCTGCTAAGTCACTTCTCGTTTCCATTTTTTTCTTTTCCATCCCACTTCTGACAACAATTTGTTACGTCTCTGTTCGTTTGTTAATTTCCGGTATAAATTCTTTCCGAGGAACTTCAGCGATACAATTCCTTTCTTAAATAAAACTAGTTTATTGTTTCTCGATACAACTTTACGATACACGGAATTTCCACAGTCACTTTAACTTAACTACCTTTATAAACATATGCTATAATTCACAGCGATTCACACACTTTACTTACGGTGCCTACTGTTCGCTTGACTCAATTATCTATCTATGCAATTCTTTTTTTGCAGGGCTTATATACTAAAAAAAGAGGGCCTCTGGAACAAACTAGAGTTGCTAGGAAAATTCATGATCCTTCGAGAAACTCTAGCACGCATGCTCCCAGAGTTGCGTGACTTCCGCTGTCGTAACAATATGTTATATCTTCTGCTGAAGAATGAGGTAGTCCCGGTGTTAAGATATTTGATTAGAGAAGCTCGAATAAGTATAGGAGTCCTTGTTAATATGTTGAGAAAATATCACTAAAAGACCTGAGTGAATCAGAATAATTTGACACTAAATCCACTGTAGGTGTTACATCTTCATTTATAATTTGTCATTTACTGGCTAAGGATAAAAGCCTATTGAATTTTTCTCGAACCACAAGTTGAGAAACTAGGACTAAGACAATACAGCTTCACGAACGACATTAAGTAAGTCGTGACACTTGTGACTGAAAAGAATTAAGAGGAGAAAAAAACTGTGTAGTTTCATTAAACGGGTGTAACTGCTTAAAATTGAATTGCTATATTTTACAAATGATCCCTCAGTTAAATATATTCTTCTAGATTTACTTTTGCTGCAGTCTGGTATGCAATTGATTTTTTTCAAGCGGCAGCACATATAAAGTGAAGAATAACACTAACAGCAGAACTTTCAGTGTTTCCTGCTTGCGCTATTCGACGTTTTGAATAACCGGTATGCCACTAAATTTCCTTCAATTTCAAAGATGTCAAGGCTAAAATAAATTGTTCTTCGTTTTAGAAAGTACCGCACTTCTATAAGTGATTCAAGAGACTAAAGATGCAGTTAATGTTGAATAAGGTTTTCCTATGTGTTTTTTCTGTATGTTTGCTTTTCGTTACAGCAGAAACATCTTGCAACCGATCCAAATCTTTAAGAAGCGCTAGAGTACGCAAAGTAATGGAAGAAAACGAAATTGTTCCTGATGTTTTGGACGTGACTCCCACTCATTTATTAGAGGTGACGTAAAAATATTTTCAATAAATAAATTTATGCCCGAACTTAGAGCCACAGTATAAAGAAATTGAATAATCTACTGGTTTCAAAATAAGAGTTACACTTGCTCTTTTGTAAATTGTAGCCTGTAAAAGTGTAAATTATAATACTTTTAATAGAATAGTGCAAAAATCACTGGTGTATCTTTCAGTTTTATAAATTAAATAGCAGACGTGCAATGTAAATATATACAGTAGGTGAGATTTTGCATTTTTTATTTAATAAACTTTATTCTTATATCTTGTAAGTAAAAAAATATGAAAAACAGAAGCATGGGAGTATTGAAAAATTAAAATCGTTTTTGTTATAAGATGAGTAAAGTTACGCCCAATTTGGTTTGTATGTCATTAGCAAAAGTGCAAGCCATTAAGATTCTCTTTCTGTGGATTTTCACCAGTTCAGGTCAAATCTGACTTTGATTGTATATTCCTAATGCATTTTCACCAGCTTGGGGTCAAACTCAAGTTATTGATTTGTATTAATTATGTCTGACTGATCATATATTATATTTCCTTTGCATAATTTAGCTTGGCAAAAAAGATATTTTGATAAGTGAATAAGGTGTAAAATTATCATTACCTTTACCAAAACAAATATTAACATACTTAAGTAGAAAAGTTTAACAGTCGTAAAACCACCTGTGTTAATATATGATGTTAGAAAAACATGTAGGTGCAAAAAAAATCAATTAAGGTAAGAATAAGAAATCCTATAACTTGCACACTTTCGAAACTCAAGTTACAGAATTTCTTATATAGATTATAGTACATAGATCAAATTTTACTTGTTGTTCCATGAAGTCATTAGTTTCCCATGTTAACAGATTAGTTTTGTATATCTTTCATTTCCTTTGAAACTAGATCTAAATCTGCCCTTTTGTAAGGCCTTCAGTTCATAGTATAAAATAATTACAAAAATCTTTATATGTAATGGCTGTGGAACTTGAAAACTACGTGAACTGCTTTTATGTAAAGTAACAGATGTTCTATTTATTTTTTTAATGTTATGTCTGAAATGAAACTTTAAGTTTAATTTTTCTTGTTAAACATTCTTTTGCTATGTGTACTAATGTTCTAAATGCATGGGATATACAAATGAACATTCTTATTTAGGTTTTTTTATGATGTATCAAATGTTGCTCAAGCAGGCAGGGGATACTAAGCACATCTTCTCCGAGATAAACAATCCTTGCTGTATAAAGAAAGAACTTTATATACATTCAGAGGTATTAATTATATAGTGGGAAAGGCAACTACCAGGTTAGTTTTGTGGATGTGTTTGTACGATCTTGGGGATCTAACTAAACCTCTTCAAATACCACAGAAAATGGCTAAAGGTTACTGTGCAGACTCTACAGAACCCTGTAAAATTAGGTTTTATAATTCAGTAAATGTTTTCACTTTTCTAATTCATTTATAGATACTACACATAAATGCAAAAGGGGGAAACTCATATTTGCAACCTTTATAGGGGCTATATTTCCTCCTTAAGTCAACATGGATAAACATATAATAATTGATGCCAGTCTTATTAAATGTATTGTTTCCAACAAAAAGCATTTTATTGCTTGCATGATTTTTTGGTGTTGTTTTCATAAGATTTAAGGTTACTAAAGTTCACAGATATATTTTAAACAACCGTCAAGTCTCCAAAGTTCCTTTAGAAAACTTCTGTTTACATGAGTGGCAGAAATGTTTAACTGTTAATTTTTCAACAAGATAAGGAAGATTAAATCCACTTTATGGTTATATATGTACATACTAACTATTTTTTGATTGTTAAATC